ATTATTGGTAATATTTTTAATTTTCTATACTCTCTGAAATAGCTTTCGTTTTTATTAAACTTGTTAAACTTGTTTTATATTCAATTAGCGTACCACAAAGGTATCGACGAATTCATTATTGTAGCAGTTACTATTTTATTATTTATTATTTTAATCATTGGTCATTATTTGGGCATTGGTCTAGTTGAAATTAATATTACAAAATTAATACTTTAAATTTTGTTAAATCTTTGACATGGTACTTTATTTTACAACAGTATACTAGCATCAATTTTTTTTTCTGTTTATTGTCAGTCTCCTTTCTCTATCTACATTATCTAAATTTCAGTTTCCATTCTGTATTGTGTATTTTTCCAGAAATATTGTTCAGATGAAAAACACATTAATTTCGTTATAATTTTCAATCTCAGTATCAAACTAACGCTGACGCTTTTAATGTCAGAAGTTGTAGATCCTTTCCATCAGCCAAACGCACCGTGTCACTGTTCTATTTTTACTATTGGGGGTTCGTTTTAACGGCGTCGTCATTAATTGGCTCTGTCGTGGGTCGAAGTTCAAAGTGATTCGACGCTTGCGGTTAACATGTATGTAATTATTTTAGAGTAGGCGTTTAATCCCGGTAATAATTATGCTTTGATTTTCCCAGTAGCCATTCCGAAACCTAGTTTGGACGGAGAAATTCGACAATATAATCTTAGTAAAGCGATGTGATTAAAAGTTGTCTCATACTAGAGAATGTCCTAATGAGCTCTAAAGCCTGCCTTTTTTTCCTTGTTATCAGCAAATTCAGTGCGTTTATGGACGGCACAATCCAAATATCTCTGCTGCTAGGAATCCCTCCATTAAAAATTCCTAGGCAAGTATAATATCGTCTCGTTTCTTAATTATAATCAATTATAGTATCAACGTCACCCTAAGAAATGTGGCCAAGGTTCAGGGGTAGATACTTCATAACATATTTGGTGCGCCCCATGAGGTAGGAAAATAGTTTCTTTTTTTTTTCTTCCGTTTCCTGTTTCAGACCTTGTCCTATCCATTTAAAAAAACTCACTTCGGAAACAGAAAATGTTTTTCGTTTGAACGATCTTACCTTCATACATTGACCTCGATATCATGTTTTGGTCCATCTCAATGTCGTTCAGTAGTACCAGCCAACGAAATTTAACACCTCTTACTATAATTATTATTCTCCACGTTGGAACAAAAACGATGCGTAAAAATAAATCCGATATCGATATAGTCCAAGGCGGCTCACATCGCAGCTATTGATCTTGAAATTTTTCCCATATCCGATTTGTTTTTTTACCGGTGAACAAATAACCCGCGCATGAATAAATCATAATGTAAATTAAGTTACTCAGAACCGGTAGCGTATATATCGCGACGGCGGTAAAATCGGTACTAGTAATTTTGCCTGCAAGTACACCATGTGCCAAATAAAACGATCCACTATACGATCTGGAAACCTTGGAGATACGAAAAAAGTTCCGTACAAAAATTTCTTGAACTCTCCTGAAGATTTAAATTATTATAATTTTGTGTCCCCTCCGACATCAACTTTGTTATTTTAAATCCATGGTTGAAATAAAGGGCACTTTCTTAAGAAATTCCTATTCGAATTTTGCATAGTTTAGGTTATGTGTGTTTTTTTTAACATTTTTATTGCCCCATATAAAATTGTGTTGTGACTTTGCTGACCCAGGTATTGCGACGAAAATTTAACCACAGACTAAAGAGATGATGCACTATTCAATCAGCTTGACAGATGCGCCTTAGTGTATACAGGGTATCCCAATGTCTTTATCAAATGTACAAACATTTGATAAAGACACGGTGTTGTCGAAAAAATTGTCATGTGAATATATATAATTTGGTGACAATCTGACCTTTTAGTTCTTCTTTATTTAAAAATGTAGTTGGCTATGACATTAAATAAAATCCTTTTTTTAGCCATTTTTCTGTTTGATTTTGTTGTTTTTCATATTTCTATTTAAAAAAATCATAGTTGTCAAGTTTTTTGTTAGTATATATTTTATTTGTATTTTTAGTTTTTTGGTTAACCTATAAAGTTTAATATTTGTTTTTTTTTATTAGGTATTTTTAATCAAGCTAGATAATTAACTATTAAATGTTTCTTAAAATATGAATTCTGAAGTGTTATTAAATCTGTTATAGTGTGTAGTATAGAGTCGATTTTTCTCAAAATCTCCACGTATTAATGGACACCCTGTATTATTAGCAATAGGTTTTATTCGTATATCTGGAGTATTATATCTTTAAAAGAAGCAGTATCGTATCTTTGCAATTTAAAAAATACGTAATATTGTCAACAAGTGACCTAATGTTTTAAATTCAACAAGAATTTATACGGGTGTTATCTTCAACCTCGAATATTTCAAAAAGCAAGAAAAATTGAAGCATATCATAAATTACAAACTTACCTTATTTGTTATCCTTATTTGAATAAAAATAGAAAATCTTGATATTTTGTTAATTGAATTCGCCAAAACGTCACCACTTATTTGGATCAGTAGCGTCACAAACACAATTTTATATGAGGAAATCAAAACATGAAAAATGAATAACCTCAATTTTTGCCTAAACTATGCAAAATTCGAATGGGAATTTCTTATGTTGAAATATACAGGGTATTCCATTTAAAATAATAAACTTGATTTGGGGGGGAGACATTTTTAGGATACCCTGTTTGAACAAAATTATAATATTTTCAATCTTCAGGAGAGGACAAGAAACTTTTGTACGATTTTTTTTTTCGTGTCTCCTATGGGTTTCCAGATCGTACAGTGGATCGTTTTATTTGGCACACGAGCGATCGAAACCAGGAAAAAATATTTAAGGTTTTATATTCCACGTTTTAAATAGGGGTGGTCATCAAAAAGGTCGGATAGAGTTTACAGTAAACTGAGTTTCAAAAAACGTCCCGCCAATTCCTAGATTAAGCAGCCATATTAAGTTTCTTGCAATAGTTCGTTCTCGCCCGTAGAAATTACATTAAAATCATTTCGCTAGCCATAAAACTTAAAACCTGAACTAACTGATTAATGATTTTACTTTGGGAGACAATTTCACCGGCTTGTTAGACGTTATTGAGCTTAACAGAGTCGATAAGGTTTTACGAATTAGACGGACTAAATCAAAAAGTGCCAAACCGTTTGAAGTAATTACCTCACTTTTTCTCAGCTAAGGTCTAAACTTTTACGATGATAAATTTTTGGGCTAATAGTTGAAAATATTCTTTACTGGGGTAAAATTGCTTTATCTGCAAGCAACACATAGTCGATAAAAATTATTACCTATTATGAAAGTATTCTTCAAATTTCATTTGCGTTTGTATTGTTTGAGTTCATTATCTGGTCCAATAAGAACATTCTCTCTTCATTATCAAAATTACTATAAAATGTTTTTAACTATAACAATAGTTACTACTACTGAAAAAAGTCTTATGTGGTAGTTCATTTCATCGGTCATAGAACAATTCAATTAAATTCAAGTTTTAGGTTTAATGTGCCTGTTACGGTAACCATCTGTTTGTAGGTCTTCCTAGACTCCTCTGTATTTACGCGGTTCATCCTAACCAACATTTTCTATTTTTACATACCATCACCCATCGCAGAAATCTTGTGTGTGTCTTAAAAAAAACTTGGTATAAAGAGTAAAAGTTTTGAGAAACTAAGCAACATTCGGTTAAAAAAATTCAACAAAAATAGTTTTGATTTCCTTTTTCAACAAGTGAAAATACGTATAGTAAAACTAGTACCACAATAGTTACATACAATTCTGCGAATTCTCCGTAACTCATCACCAAAGCGCATCGAGTCGGTTGGTTGTGTTACACTGCAGTAATTTTTTCATCGTAATTTTGCAAGTCGCTGCGTCACTGTTGGATGGTCACGGGTTTTATTAAACTCTAATAATTAGAATTTTTCTAAAAGCATTTTTTTCTCGAGAATTTTCCTTCAAAAGTTGAAGAAAGTGGTAAATAAAAAAGGTGTAAAGATTGTTAGGATGCACAATTCAAAATGATTTTAAAGTATATAGGACACCCTATTTTTAAATTTTGTTTTGAATTCCTTTTAAAATTCTTCAATGTTTTTATTAAGTTATAATAATACATACCCAAATCTAATAGTTTTTTCAATATTTAAATTTTTCTAAAAAAATACTGGTTTTAAAGGTGGATCATTGAATTTTAATTAGGAAAATCTCGTTTGTTTTTAGATGACACACCACACATTTTTCTGAAAGATCTTACAAAAACTTACAACTTTTATTAAGTATGTTTTATACGTTTTTTTAATACTTTATTTTAACTTTTTCTATGTTTACCCTCCGTTCTGTCTAAGACTAAGACTATTGCTATAACATTAGTTGGACATGACAAAATGACGTCAAATTTTTACCTGACAACTGAGTAAATAAATTCATAAAATTTATTGTGGTGTCAGTAAATTAAAAAAAAAACTTAAGTATGCATTAATATATTGATATGATGTACTGAATGATGCGGAAAAAAATTCTTTGTTGACAGTAAGAGTTTACAAGGCGAAATACCCCAATAGACGTAAGTAGTGAATAAGTATAATATAGGCTTCCCCCACTCCTCTCCCTTTTGTGGGCGTATCCTCCTTCCCCACGACTCTCTAGCTCCTCCCCCTTTACCCATAATCCCTTGAAACTGGCTCCCATTGGATAAGCAACCAGAAATGCGGTTTAATCAATCTCCCCACCTCTAGTTTGCGATGGCGGCGAAGCCAATCAGAGCCCAGATATTTTCCCACCCCTAAGAAAAGCAATGGCGCCAATGAGACTTGATCATATTGTTCGCGTGACCATCTGCACCCCCTAGCGGTTCGAATGTAAACTAGTGTCCCCTCTTGGAATAAGATTTTCTTTAATAAGGTAACCCCACCTAGTGAATATTGACCAAAACATTTATTTTAAAAACATATAGTTCTGCGAATGTGTACCCACGCGGGTACAAACTGTACTTTTATTGCGCACAAAGGACAGGGGAAATAAAGACGAAAAGTGTTGGATTTCTTTTCTCGGAACTGGAAGCTGGCAGGCACCACCAATAATATCTGCAAAACAAAAAGCTGGTTAAAATTTTCATTAATAAAGTAGGATATTAGAAACCATATACCTTTTTAATTTACTAAGCAATCTACCGTGCGTTAACTTCATACATATTTCCGCATGCTTCTGTTTTAAGGTATCGTGAAATATTTGACTATTTATCTGGGAAAAGTTCATATGTCGAAAATATTATGTGTATGTGGCCGTGGTAGGCTTTCTTTACTATTATAATTTTATTTTTATTATTTAATATTTACAAAATTAATTTATCTATCTTATTGATGATTTTGATTTTCTTTGCTATTTTTATTATTTGTTTTTATTATTTAATATTTTCAAAATTAATTTAATTTATCTATCTTATTGATGATTTTAAGATGTCGCAGTCAACTTTACTATTTCATCAATTTCTTTTATTTATTGCTGATCTTTGAGGATAGTGTACATACTTTTTTTCGTAACTTATCTGTATCTACCCTTTAATTTCCTATCAAGCCATAAAGCAAACTCGAAAGGCATCTTAACTAAAAAGTCATATACTTTAAAGCTGCTGCGACTACTACATGAAAGTGTGTTTCTGTGAAATCTCAACAATAATGAAATCTGGACGCTTATATTAAATACTGTAATACTCTTCTCTGCTAACGCTCTAGGAGACGCTATTTGAACCCTGTTCAAAGAAAAACTTCTACAGCCCAAATAACCCCTCTGAACCACACTTAAGCGCATCACTCTTTCACTGTCTTGCAGCCTTCAGATTAATATTCCGTACTAACTACGTATGCCATACACGAAACGTTCTCTTTTCTAATTTTTTTCTATGCGCTACATTAACGAACAGGATCTAAACTTTTCTGTCTGTGTATTTTGTTAGCCACCTTAAAAAAATTAAAAAAAAGGTATGCGAACCTAGAGGATATTTTCCATATTTTTCACAAATGGTGACAACAATTAATGCAAGTATTATTTTTAATAATAATCCATCTTTCGCTATGACACGAAAACATCGACTTTTTAATTCTAACTTTTCTCATAGAGCTTCCCTTTAGTCTCTATCTGTTCTTTAACTAAATCCCCACCTTTTTGAAAAACCAACCTCTAAAAATAGTTAATTTTCTCTAATTTAAATTTGTACGTTTTCCGCAATATGTGTGAATATTTTCGCTAGAGCATTTAGTTACTTAGTACATGTCCTAATCAATATTTTAAAAATATAATTCTAATGATACGTGTTTACGATTTGAAGATAACGAAACATTCCCCAGTTTCATAAATGAGAGCTCACTGCCAAACTACCAAACATCACAGTACAAACTACCGTACTACGCCCCCTGGACAAAATCAGGTCAGTCAGCGTCATTAATTCTACCTGCGTTAACGAATAGCGTATTGTTAATTATGGTTTAATACGCAGAAAATTTAAGTAACAAATAATTGCAATGAAACTCACTAACATCATAAATTATTAAAAAAAAAATTAGAACAGTTGGAATTTACTGGAGTAACCAATTTGGCACTAAAAATGGAAATTTTCGATACTCTACTAGGTGCCTACAATAAATTTTACTATTATTTTTTAATGCAGAGACACAACGATTTTCTAGTTCTGAATTTGATCAGGGGTATATGACCATAGTTTACGCCGACTCTAAAAGGCATGCAGTCTATTGTTTTTGAACGCCCCATTTTGTGTATTATGTTCAAAACAGAGACTCTCTGGGCTTACGACTACAGCTACCAGCTACTACTTTCAATAATATTAACACAAAAAAAGTAGGTGGCATTTCTATAATACGTGCAAAGTTTATGTGAAACTGACTGGAAGACAGAGTAATGCACCAATATGTTACTAAACATATTTCGATAGAATTCCGTAAGAGCTTACCTCCAAGTTTCCTCATTTAGTCAGTCAAAGCATCAAATGGGAAATTCCAATCCAACATAGGTAGTGGTGGAAATATATCAATCGCCTACGTTACCGATGGTACCCGACTGAAGCTTCTGCGTCTTCTTTACCCCACATGCCTACTTAAAAGATACTGGTCTAAGTCTCAATATTCCTGTTAAAAAAAGAGAGGTTCTATATTGCCATAACTATGTGTTTTCAAAATTTTACCTGAATGGTTCGTGATTCCTTATATATGCAGTGTTGGCAGCAATGTGGCGACGACTACGCTGAAACTTTCCATATCTCGTGTCCCCATGACTGGTCTGTTTCATATATCAAACCTCACCTCGCACGGGTTTGAACCTCCTTTAAAAAAAAAAAACAGGCAAGACTTATACTTATATCAAAGTAATACGAGGAACTTATATTTTATGCCAAAACTTATTTCATCACCTCCAAAGGGGAGTAGGGGTTTCTAAAGTATGGTAGGTACATCTCTTTCATTTTTTAATTAAAAAAGTGACACAATTACGCGACGTAACTCGATCCGGATCGTTAACGCGTCTCAAGATGGGGGTTTAGAGATGCTGAGGTCATTAAATTGATTCACTATTACCAGTACACACTGAAACCCCTTATTTCCAAAATAAAAAAATTGTTAACTGTTAACACAACAAAAAAAACTATTTTCTCACCAATTATATTTCTGGGTCGTTTTCAGAATTTGTCCAACGTAGAATCCCAAGAGGATAGGGCCGCAATTTCGAAAAATGTTCATGTCTCCCCACTATGCATTTGTACAAGAAGCAGGGCCGGATTAACAGCAATTATATTCTTGTCAGTCAACATACAGCCGCCGATTGAATTCTCGGATTCTGCTTTACTAGTTGCCATGGTCTGTCAAATATGTTACTTAAAAATTGTATATTTTTTTTACAAATAATATACCTTTCCTAAAATAATTCCGCCTTTGTCAAGTGGGACACGGGCACGTCTGTCCGCTTTGAAAAGCGCAGGCGTATGTATCTTCCAAAATGATCCAAGCAGGCCCGGATTGCCAGCAAATACACAACTCCCCGATTCAATTCTGAGATGTTGCTTCACGAGTTACCATGATCTGTCAAATATTTTAATTAAAAAAAATCTATTATTTAGCAACAATATACCTTTTTAAAATAATTTCGTCTTTTTTCAAGTTCAACAGGACACGTGTGTTCGTTTCAGTTGGACAAGGGCACGTCTGTCCGCTTTGAAAAGCGCGGCGTATGTATCTTCCAAAATGATCCAAATTGTTAACCTTTTTTTGATTCCTCGTTCCCCGATTCAATTCTGAGATGTTGCTTCACGAGTTACCATGATCTGTCAAATATTTTAATTAAAAAAAAAAATCTATTATTTAGCAACAATATACCTTTTTAAAAATAATTTCGTCTTTTTTCAAGTTCAACAGGACACGTGTGTTCGTTTCGAAAGGTTTCGTAGTCTGTAGCTCTGTCGAATTCTCCAAAATTCGTTAAACCTTCAGATATTTTCAAAATTTGTCCAACGCAGACTTCCACTCACGCAGTTTCGAAAACTTTCTGGTCTCCCCGCCATGCATTTGTACACGAAGCCGTTCTGGACTATCAGCAAACAGCACATCCGTCATTTTTCTTCTCGGATTCCGCTTGACGAGTTACATCGATCTGTCAAATATTTAATGTAAAACAATCTTATCTATTACTTTTACCCAATATTAAGTACCTATTCAAAATTAGTAGCGCCTTTTCGAGTTCGAAAGGTTTCGTAGCCTATAGCCCTGCCGAAATGGCATTGCATTTGTACACGAAGCAGGGTCGGATTGTAAGCAAACAGCACCCCGGTCACTTTTCTTCTCGGATTCTGCTTGACGAGTTACATCGATCTGTGGAATATTTAGCGTAAAAAAAAATTATCTATTACTTTTACCAAAAATGAAGTACCTATTCAAAATTAGTAGCGCCTTTTCGAGTTCGAAAGGTTTCGTAGCCTATAGCCCTGCCGAAATGGCATTGCATTTGTACACGAAGCAGGGTCGGATTGTAAGCAAACAGCACCACCGGTCACTTTTCTTCTCGGATTCTGCTTGACGAGTTACATCGATCTGTGGAATATTTAGCGAAAAAAAAAATTATCTATTACTTTTACCAAAAATGAAGTACCTTTTTTCTTTAAAACAGTTCGTCCTTTTCGAGTTTGAAAGGTTTCGTAGCCTATAGCCCTGCCGAAATGTCATTGCATTTGTACACGAAGCAGGGTCGGATTGTCAGCAAACACCACAAGCGTCACTTTTCTTTTCGGTTTCCGCTTGACGAATTACATCGATCGGTCAAATATTTAATATAAAAAATATCTATTTTACCAAAAATACGTACTCTTCTAAGATAAATTAGCTCTTTTCGAGTTTAAGAGGACACGTATGTCAACTGTAGGATGTTTTATTATTATATTTTCCAGTGTCTATAAATTAATAAACAACAGAAGCTTCCGAATACAAAAATTTCAACATGAGTTTTTTTTCTTGAAATTTAAAAGTTCTAACCCCTAAAACCATATTTTAATACGCTGGCGGACGTATAACAATCCCCAAAAATTACCATATTTAAATTGTTACTATTGATATATTTCTATTCCGAACTTAACTCAATACATGCAAAAAAAAACTAGCGAATGTTATTTATTATCTCCGATGGGTGGATGATTGAGAAACGTTTAAATAAATCTACCTTTCTGTCTCTCTTTTTCTATATAGGTCACTCATTCTCTCTATCTGTTACTTTCCACAATCCGAATTTACACTTGGCCCCCCAAAAATCTTGTAAAATTTTATCTGCTTAACTTCTTCGCGTTGTTCATATGGCTGAATTTTTTGGGAGATATATCGTGCGTTATTTCTATTAAAATTCTGTTTCCTTTTTACCTACTTCAAAAACGTAAGCGAGCATTTTTGGTTGTTTTATTAAACAAAAATTGATACTAACCAAGATCCGTATCTCCGACCTCAGCTTCCTTTGATCACTCCCCAATTTTTTTTAATTAAGTATAGAAACCTCGTCGAACATATACTAGGTCAAAATGTTACGCGGTTACTCATTAAAGTCGCAATTCCGAAAGCTTCTTACCTATCTTTTTCCAGTCTTTTTTGTTTTATTTATCCGTATATGAAACACACATTGAACACAAAACTTAAACTCGTTGGCGATATTGCATTAAGCAACAAACGCGTATAACAGAAACGAACCCTTAACACAAACGCTTCTTTAAACTTCGACTGACACGTGAAACAACCCGCATTCCTACGAAAGGCAGGTAAACCAAGCAGGTCAAATTTTAAGCTACCCTCCAGTGTCGTCGTAGGTTGGGGCATAGTAAATAGCGAATACAACAAAGCGGTAATTTATAATAATTTAATTTGCATTTTATTTAACTTAAGTTGTTTTGTAGAAAATGAGACATTTCTACAATTAATCAATATACTACGAGTACTTTTCCGCTTAATTACTATTTTTGAGAAACAAAAGGAAACGTTAGATTCCATTCAAACTTTTTCGGTTTTCATGATATCTCGCGTTTATTTAGAAGCTAATGGCCTGTGGCCTTAACCAGACGTTTCCAAAGCCTGGTTTGATATTATGTATATAAATCTTAACAAACACGAAAAATAGAGTTATATTGCCACCGAAAATCTGAATTTATGTTTAAAAATGTAACTTCCCGTATTTAAACTATTGCCTGCATTGGCGCCTATATTTTATAGTTTTTTTTTTGTATCCTATTTTTTTTTGTTTTGCTTGCAAATGTGTGTCCATTTTTCGGGTACTGAATTTTTTTTTCTCAAATTATTACAAATTACTCAAAACGGAGTTAAAAAGAGACGAGGAGAAAAGGGTAGAACCCTTATTTCTCCGACACTGACCTCCGATGTTTATAAAAATTGACCCCTTGACACCCTCCCCGTGAATATTTTACAAAGGATTTTTAAAATTTAACTTCCAAATAACGCATACTCTCGCCTAGTGTCACAGTTTTGGGCCCCATTTTGCTATGGTTAGACAGGTTTATTCTTGTACATTGTCGGGACAAAAGAAGCATCTCCTTCATCCAAATTGACTTTTTCATACCTAATATAACAGCTGCCGGGCATCATCTCGCCTTAATTGTTTCTATTGAATTAATTTTAGTTACAAAAAATTAGATGATCGTCAAAATTGGCATAAAAAGATAATCAAGATTTAATTAAAACAAGAATATGCACAAAAGAAAAGAGATAAACTCCGACACGGGAAACAAGGAAATATCGCTGAAACGGCAATTGATCTAGCGCGCGCCTTTTTTAAAAATAATAATTTTTCAAAAGAATTCTAGGCTAAGCTAAATACCTGGTGCAACAAAATATTGAAGGATCTTCATGATCCTACCTGTGAGCGAGTAGAAAATTATTTGCAAAGAGGATAAAGGTATATCTTAATATAAATAGTTTCACTATTGATAATATGTCCCCTTTTAAAATGGCGCATTATTTGATACGTACTTTTTTCTTGTCAGAGCTTGTCTAAAAAAAAAAAATCGGGATGGATGGAGGTTCTCCGTCAGGTTTTTTTCCTGTCGAAACAAGTATGTGCGGCGTTCGCTTTGGATCTGGGGGAATGGGTGGGGTTATACATATATAAGCTATAAGAAATTTTAATTTTTTATTCAGTTTCCACTCATACAATTTCGTGATAAGTGCAGAGTGAGAAAAATGTCCGAAGTCGAAAATTATCCAACGCAAGCATTGGATTCGTGGGGAAGATTTGTGGTCAATGCGGAAATAATCCGCGAACAAAAATACATTTACGAGGCAGCAATTACGCTGCCGGAATTCGGACTAGAAATTACCTCAGGTCTTAGCCCAGCAAGAATCTTCGCTCCGGCAGTGAAAGTGAGCTTTATCCCCTACGTTTTGGCGGAGAAAAGAAGCATTTCGTTCGACGAGATAGACTTCACAGAATTAATACAACAGCTTCCATTGTTATTGTTAGCAGGCCCGACTGGTAAAGTTATGTATTTAACCTGCTTCAAACTCAGCTGTCTACAATGTGATGGTGAAGTCTTGGTCAAGATTGAAAATAGCGAGGGTATACTCTATATTTCGAAAGACTGGGTACAGAAATTAATTACCATAAGCAAATTGGTATTTAAAAGAATACGAGTACTGTCTCGTTTGAACTTTTACGAGTACTACGATAGAATATTGTATTTGACTATACATGAAAATTTACTGGAAGACGCCAAAATCTTTCCGCATATAGAATATTTATGTTCTACAGAAGAGAGTGAGCAGAGCTACTGCATGGAGGACTACATGCGTTTTGGAAAAATGCAGATAAAACAAGATATCAACAAAAGGATAGCATGGGACATACCTGTGTTTTAATAGAAATTTACCTGTAAACTAATAATAATAAATGTATTTTTAAAATTCAGTGTGTGTGTATGTTTTATCCTTACCCCCATAAAAAAAAGTAAAAAAAAAAACAAGTAATTGCGTAAAATAATTTTATTAAAGAAAAAAAAAATAACAACAAAATATATTCAAACAAAACATGGTACCACCGGAATGAAACCATCAGAAATTACCCCAACAACGGAGATTCTCGCATATAATTTACCAAAAAAAAAATTTGCAGTGCAAAAGTCAAAGTTCAAAGCTGGCGATGCAGTGAGCATAAGTCGCACAAAATCGGTTTTTGACAAAAGCTATGAAATTAATTGGACACCCCGAAAATTTCAAGATTGTTAAAGTAAGTGGTTCCTTCCCTCTTACGTATATTTTGGAAGATGTGGAGGGGCGTTAAATCAAAGCTTCGTTTTATGAAGTCGAATTACAAAAACCGTACTACCAAATAGTCGAATCGACTATTTGGTAGTACGGTTTTTGTAATTCGACTTCATAAAACGAAGCTTTGATTTAACGCCCCTCCACATCTTCCAAAATATACGTAAGAGGGAAGGAACCACTTACTTTAACAATCTTGAAATTTTCGGGGTGTCCAATTAATTTCATAGCTTTTGTCAAAAACCGATTTTGTGCGACTTATGCTCACTGCATCGCCAGCTTTGAACTTTGACTTTTGCACTGCAAATTTTTTTTTTGGTAAATTATATGCGAGAATCTCCGTTGTTGGGGTAATTTCTGATGGTTTCATTCCGGTGGTACCATGTTTTGTTTGAATATATTTTGTTGTTATTTTTTTTTTCTTTAATAAAATTATTTTACGCAATTACTTGTTTTTTTTTTTACTTTTTTTTATGGGGGTAAGGATAAAACATACACACACACTGAATTTTAAAAATACATTTATTATTATTAGTTTACAGGTAAATTTCTATTAAAACACAGGTATGTCCCATGCTATCCTTTTGTTGATATCTTGTTTTATCTGCATTTTTCCAAAACGCATGTAGTCCTCCATGCAGTAGCTCTGCTCACTCTCTTCTGTAGAACATAAATATTCTATATGCGGAAAGATTTTGGCGTCTTCCAGTAAATTTTCATGTATAGTCAAATACAATATTCTATCGTAGTACTCGTAAAAGTTCAAACGAGACAGTACTCGTATTCTTTTAAATACCAATTTGCTTATGGTAATTAATTTCTGTACCCAGTCTTTCGAAATATAGAGTATACCCTCGCTATTTTCAATCTTGACCAAGACTTCACCATCACATTGTAGACAGCTGAGTTTGAAGCAGGTTAAATACATAACTTTACCAGTCGGGCCTGCTAACAATAACAATGGAAGCTGTTGTATTAATTCTGTGAAGTCTATCTCGTCGAACGAAATGCTTCTTTTC